CAGAAATCCCACTCTGAATCCCAAATTCATTATTGAAAATGCATCCAATGCTGCATAGTGGTGATTACCTCATTTCCCATGACAGGATGCTGAGCTAATTAACATTAGAAGTAACAGGCAAGGTAGATTTGAAAATTATAGACTAAATAAATCAGAGACGTATAGCATGAGGTTCTGTGAGCTCAAGCCTACTTTATTATAAGTAACCATTTATCATTAGCTACTTCTCCACAGAATGGGCATTGTCCGTCTATTTTCTTAGAAAGAAAGTTCTGTTTGCAATGGGTTATCCAGTGTCTTGGTCATAGCACAGCCTGTGAATACCTCACCTACCTTATTTTCATCTGCTGGATATGTTTTTGTAATAAATCCCTGTTTGCTCTTAGCTGACATATCAGCTCGAGGAACTCTCACTATGCCCAAAGCAGTGAAGCTTGCTCCTCACCTTAGGGAAATGGTGATTACAATGACAGCTGATGTATGCCAATCAACTGAAGTCACCAAATCATTCCTTCTCACTCTGACCAAAAAGCATTTACTTTGGTCCCCCTACAGCTTCTCTGAATATGCTCTGAGTTTAAAGTCATATCACATTCCACAATGTAAGTTTTGGCGCCATGATAATGATGGGTTCTTCAAAACTCTTTCCATTTGGATCTTGTAGCAGGGCCAGGATCCAGGGGCGACCATGCTGCCTGTTGGTGGCCAACTGGTCACTGCCTCAGACTGATTCTGGTACTCTCCCCTCCGCTCTTACCTGACAAACCTTGATGTAATTGGTAAACTATGAAAGGGAACCTGCCTGTTAGTCCTAGAACCCAGCCTTGCCCTTCCTTTGCCAGTGGATCCCCTCCAGACACCAATAGCCTGAAACCAGTCTGTCATAGAAAATTCCTATGACCTCTGGAGGCCATCTAGTCCAGCCCCCTGCTCAGAGCAGGACCATCCCCAACTACATCATTGCAGCCAAGGCTTTGTCTAGTCAGGTCTTAAAAACCTTCAAGGATGGGGAGTCCACAACCTGTCTGGGTAACCTGTTCCAGTGTTTTACTACCCTCCTAATGAGAAAGTTCTTCCTAATATCTAACCTAAACTTCCCTTGCTACATTGGTGATGTGTAGGGGGTGCACGTGGGTTCACGTGCACTCCCAGCAAAAACCGCCACCAGCAGCACCTGTGGACAGTCACTACTTGCCACCCCCCCCACCCTCCTGCTGCCGAGACCACTGTGGCCACCTGCAGGAGCTCGCTACTCACCACTGCTACACTCCCACCGCTGACACCTGTGGGAGCTCACCGTGTCCCACCAACCTCCAGGGGCACGTGGAGTTCATGCCTTGCTGCAACTTCACACTGTTGCTCCTTGTTCGGTCATCTGCCACCACTGAGAATAGACTTGCTCCATCCTCTTTCAAATCCCCCTTCAGGTAGTTGTAGGCTGCTATTAAATCCCATCTCCATCTTCCCTTCTCTAGACTAAATAAGTCCCCTCAGCCTCTCCACATAAGTTATATGCCCTCCACTGGACTCTCTTCAATTTGTCCACATCCTTTCTGTAGTGCAAGGCCCAAAATTGAACACCATATTCCAGACGTGGCCTCACCAGTACTGAATAGAGGGGAATAATCACTCCCCTTGACCAGCTGGCAACACACCTACCAATGCAGCCCAATGTTTTTAGCTTTCTTGGCAATACTGTTGGCTCATATTCAGCTTTTTGTCCACTGTAAACCCAAGATCTTTTTCTGCAGAGCACGAAAAAATGCATGGGATTGTTCCGTCCTAAGTGCAGGACTTTGCACTTGTCCTTATTGAACCTCTTGAGATTTCTTTTGGTCCGCTCCAATTTGTCTAGGTCACTATGAATCCTCACCCTACCCTTCAATATATCTACTACTTTCCCCAGCTTGGTGTCATCTGCAAACTTGTTGATAGTGCACTTTATGTAATCTTTCAGGTCGTTGATGAAGATACTGAAAAAAACTGGCCCCAGGACTGACCCCTGGGGCACTCCACTTGATACTGGCTGCCAACTAGACACTGAACCTATGGTTATTATCCTCTGAGCCCTATGATCCTGCCAGTTTTCTATCCACCTTACAGTCCATGCATCCAGCCTGTGCTTCCTTAGCTTGCCTGTACAAATGTTATGGGAGACTGTACCAAAAGCCTTGCTAAAATCAAGTTATACCACATCCACTGGTCTCCTTGAATCCACAGAGCTAGTCACCTCATCATAGAAAGCAATCAGATTGGTCAGGCATGACTTGCCCTTGATGAATCCATGCCAACTTCCTAATCACTTTCTTCTCCTCCACATGCTTAGAAATGGATTCCTTGACAATCTGCTCCATGATTTTTCCAGGGACTGAGGTGAGGCTGACCAGTCTGTAGTTCCTTGGATCCTCCTTTTTCCCTTTCTTAAATATGGACACTATGTTTGCCCTTTTCAGTCATCTGGGACTTCTCCCGACTGCCATGAGTTTTTAGAGATGATGGCCAGTAGCTCTGCAACCACCCTCAGTACCCTTGAGTGCATCCCATCCAGCCCCATGGACCTGCATATGTCCAGCTTTTCTAAATAGTCCCTAACCTGTTCTTTCACCACTGTCGGCTGCTCATCTCCTCCCCAAACTGTGCTGCCAGGTTCAGTAATCTGAGAGTGGACCTTGCCTGTGAAGACTGAAGTGAAAACAGGATTGAGAACTTCAGCTTTTTTTGAATCCTGCATCACTAGGCTGCCTCCCCATTCAGTAAGGGACCCATACTTTCCCTGATCTTCCTCTGGTTACTTGCTGCATGCCTGAGCAATGCTTTTATATTCCTCCCTAGTTCTTTGTCCATGTTTGCACTCCTTATAAGCTTTCTTTTTCTGATTTAGTTTACTGATGAGTTCTCTGCTAAACTAAGCTGGTTTTCTGCCATTCTTGATAGTCTTCCTGCACATAGGGATGGTTTGTTCCAGCACTTTCAGTAAGCCAGCTTACTGAAGTACAGCCAGCTCTCCTGGACTCCTCTCCCTTAGACCGGCTTGCCAGGGAATCCTGCTCATAAGTTCCCTAAGCAAGTCCAAGTCTGCTTTTCTGAAACCCAGGGTCCTTACTCTGGTGCTCTCCATCCTTCCTTTCCTCAGGATCCCAAACTCAGTCAACTTGTGGTCACTGCTGCCCACGTTGCCATCCACTATTACATTCCCCACCAATTCTTCCCTGCTTGTGAGCAGCAGGTCAAGAAAAGCACAGCCCCTAGTTGGCTGATCCAGCACTTGCACCAGGATGTTGTCCCCAACATTCTCCAAAAACTTCCTGGATTGCCTGTGCACTGCTGCATTGCCCTCCCAGCAGATGTCAGGGTGATTGAAGCCCCCCATGAGAACCAAGGCTTGTCATCAGGGAAACTTCCACTAGCTGTTTAAAGAAAGCTTAATCCACCACTTCCTCCTGGTCTAGTGGTCTATAGAAGACCCCCACTACAACATCACCCTTGTTGCTTTCTCCTCTGACCCTAATCCAGAGACTTTCAACAGGCCTATCTCTAGGTTCATACTTGTGCTCTAAGCAATCATATGGCTCTTTTATATGAAGTGCAACTCCTCCTCTTCTCCCCTGCCTGTCCTTCCTAGACTCATAGATTATAAGGTCGGAAAGGACCTCAGAAGATTATTGGGTCCAGCCCCCTGCACCAAGCTGGAAAGATAACTAGGGGTCAGGTGACCCCAGCAAGGTGACTGTCTAGTCTCCTCTTGAAGATTTCCAGGGTTGGTGATTGCATCATCTCTACAGGGAGCTTATTCCACAGTCTGGACAACCTGACTGTGAAGAAGTTTTTCCTAATGTTGAGCCTGAATTGATCTTCCAGGAGTTTGTGGTCATTACTCGTGGCTTTCCCCTCAGGTGCCCGGTGAACAGTTGCTCACAGAGCCTTTGACGTACTCCCATAGTGTAGCGGTAAGCTGCTACTAGGTCCCCTCTCAGTTGTCTTTTCCTCAGGTGGAAGAGTTCCAGATCCCTCACCCTTTCCTCATATGGCTTGCCTTTTAAGACTCTGATCATACAGGTGGCTCTTCTTTGGATTCTCTTAAGCTTGTCCATGTCCTTGTTAAAGTGTGGGGCCCAGAACTGGATGCAGTACTCCAGCTGCAGTCTACCCAGTGCTGAGTAGAGCAGGAGAATCACCTCCTTGGTTTTGCTGGAGATGCATCGATTGATGTATGCCAGAGTATTATTTGCCCTATTGGCTACAGCATCACACTGATGGCTCATATTCATATGTAGTCTATTACTGCCCCCAGGTCCCTTTCATTCATGGTGCTAGTCAATTTGGTGCTGCCAAGCCTGTAGGTGCATTGGGGTTGCTTGTCCCGAGGTGCCGTACCTTATATTTCTCAATATTGAACTTCAAGCCTGTCTAGGTCATCCTTTATCTTCCTGAACAGTTTATACCCATCTATGACAGTAGGACTTATGTTATAGCCAGTGTGCTTATGTTTGTGTTGGAGTTGTTACTGGTGTTTTTGGTTTGAGATTACAAAGGGTTGGCAGAGGTCCTAGTAGTACCTCAGGGCATGCAGGTGTTTGAATCCCACTATGGGCCTAGGACATCATTGCTCAGGATGGGGTGGAGAGCAGAACCAGGGGCAGGAGGCCCTGAGACACTGAATCAAGGGCTGAGGCCAAGAAAGCCTGATCCAAATCAATAGGCCAGGGCTGAAGGCTTGCAGCAACAGAAAAGAGGAAGAGGAAGCTGAAAGGACCATGGCCCCAACAAGGGAGTAATAGTGCATTTACATCTGTGAGGCATAGGCAAGATGTAAGGAGCAGTTGGAGCCATGCAATAAGCCCCTAAACCAAATAGGTGCCTTGAAGCACATACTGGCTGGAAGGACCCAACTATGGAAAGTCAAGCTCAGCAGGGTATAAAAGGAGATTCCCTGAGTGACCAGGAAGCAGGGCAGGCAGTTTGCTGGTCAGTTAGCAGTCAGTTTTCCACCTCCACTCCCTCTTTTTGAAGGGAGGGCCTTTCAGCTTGGGGGAGTGAGGCTGGATCATTAGGGCTTGCCATTCAGTTGCCCTAGGAGCTTACAGTTACAGCTGCAGCTTCTTCCTTGTTGCCTAGCAAGACTCTGCTCTATTGTCTGCAGCAGCCTGCTCACTCTGAGCAGTGTTTCCTTAACCCACTGCAGGTGCTCTTCTTTCTTTAATGGGCAGCTCCCTGCCTAGGTCACAAGGCTTCCTCAATGACTAGCCCCTTGCAGCTATCTTCCATTTAGCTGCCAGGGCTCTACCTGCAGCAAGTTTTCCCTTAACATAACAGGAGCATTAGCCTTCCTGTTACAGATCTGTTCACCTGTTGATGTTTAGTCCCAATATCCATTTCTTAAATAGCAATAAATAAATAAAATTACACACCATTTTGTGAGCCTTTTAAATGGCATAGAACAATGAAAACAGACCTCAAATGTGTATCTGAATAAATTTGTCATCCAAGTCCTCCCACACCAGTAAAGGGAGCAACTCATGGGGTCTAGCATACTGATACAGGCTGACTCTACTACCAACCTGATTTGGAAGAGAGGGTCAGGAGAAGGTGTGACCATCTGCAGACATTTAAAATTAAACTGGACAGATTATCCATTAATATCTTGCAGCAGTAGGAAAATAAAATAGGAGTACAGATAAAGGTAACAACTGTATCTGTAATCAGTGACTGTTACAATGCAGCTGCTACATCACCATGCAATACAAATGTAGCAAAAAACATTTTAACTGTTTCATTCAGTGTTTAAGCTATAATGATTTGTCTCTGTATTACTATAGAATACATAGAGAACAGACCAGCTGTGTGAAACGTAAGGCCCAGGGGCCATATCCAGCCCACAGAACCATTCTGTCTAGCCCACCAGTAGACTGGTGGGCTACTGGAAGTTAGAGGGTATATCCTGCTATAGAATTGGGGGGTCCTGGACCCCAATGGACATGGCCATCAGCAGCAGACCCCCAGATCCATGCTGCTGCCCAAACACAGACCTGGACTACCACCTGAACACAGACCTGTGCTGCTGCCCCCTCCTGGACCCATGCTGCCATCCAAATGCAGCCCCACTTTGCTGCCTGTATGTAGCTCTACTGTAGTTCCTGTTTGCCCCATGGATCTAACCCAAGAAGGGCACCCACAGTCTGGATCCAGCCTAGCATGAGTTTGACACTCTTGATGTAGATATAGTAGTTACATGATAACAGGTGAGCTCCCCAGCAGGGTCTCCCCTTTTAAAATGGTTAAAATATTATATCTGACCAAATCCTTAAAGACCTACCGGGAGAGGCTTTTGCCATGTGCACTAATTTTGATTCTATTGCATGATCACTCAAAGATCATTCAGCTCCACCTCAAATTTGCATCCAAGAGAATGAAAGAAAACAATAGGCTGAAGTGTGACTGATACAGAATGGACAGTGTACGAGGCAAAGAATGGTGCATGGAATAAGAGAAGGAAAACTGGAGAGTTTGGCAAATCAAGTAACCTGAATGTGCTGGCAGGGCAAGTCCAGTTAGCCAAATATAAGTGACATAATAGGAAATGAAGACAAGGAGAGAAAAGCAAAAAGTAAGGAAAGCAGTAGTGTATACAAAACCAATGTAAGGGACTTGTCCAGAGGTCCCTGATCTCTTGATAAAACAGGCAATTCCTGGCTTTTTATTTCACTCCCTGCACTGCCTAGTAGGCAGAGCACAGTGGCAGGGTAATTTGTGTCTGAGATGGAGCACCTTTGGTGCTCTGTCAGTCTAAGGGCTGGGAGCAGGCAGCTGGCAGGTGCAGGCCAGCCCTGATGAGGCAGCCATTTTAGACCCTGGTTCTCTGGGCTGAGGCAGCAGTTTGCTGCAAGCAGCCAAAGGAGCAACACCCAGCTGAGCTACTGCTCATGGAACACTTTGGTGATAAGGGAAGAACTATGGGGATGGCAGGAGGTTCCTACAGACCCAGTGGAGTCCTGATCCCCAGGAAGAAGGTTTCAGACTAGTTAGAACAAGGGCCAGCCTAGGCATGGGGCTAACAGTGGTAGGTCTACAAGGGGGCCAGGCAAACCCCTGGAGTAGAAGAGGGCTCTCTGGTGGGACTCAGGAGGGACTCATCTCTGGAGTATGGGGGTCAGCAGCTGCTAGGTCAGCAGCTGCTAGGTTGACTCTCTGATCCCTTGCACTGGTCAGTGCAAGAGGGCCAGGGCCAAAGGGCAATTAAGCCCAATGCAAGGGGCAGGCCAGGGCCACTGTGAGCTATTTGGCCCCCTGACTGGCCTAGAGGTGGGGCCACAGCCTGTAAGGGATGAAGGTCCTTTCAATGGGAGGGACATCACAGCTGAAGAGGGTAAGGGTCAGCCAGCATGTAGGCTGTTATAAGATTGGAATGGGGCCAGAGTGAGAGCTGGACCCAATGAGAGTGAAAGCCAAAGGACAGCATATAGGAGCCCCAGTGAAGGAACTAGACCAAGGCAGGTAGGCCTGATTGGCCTTGGTAAGACCTAAAAATGTACCCTGCTGGGAAAGTGTGGTCTGGTGGGGCTGTCTGTGGCATGACAGTCCCCCAGAAAAGCTAGGCTAGTTACCTCCCCAGTGAAAGGTGGGTAGGGGCACCTGATAGCCCCAGCCCCCACCATCTGGTAGGTCATTAAGACCAGAGAGTAGCAGGGCCAGGCATGCCTATGGGAGAGACACCTGAGCCCATGGAGGTGTAAGACCCCAGTGGTAGTGGGGCTGGGCACTCCTATGGAGAGGCACCTGAATCAATGGGGGTGTAATACTCAGAGGCCCCAGCATAGGGGTGGAGTGTGAGCCCCAGTGAGTGAGGCAGAGTAGTTACCCTAGTGAGGGAGTGCAGCGTTGACACCCCAGGAATGGGGCAGTTAGGCCCAGGTAAGTCTTCAGACACCTGAAGCCACAAGGGCAAGTAATTGACCCTAATAAGAGGGTGCAAATCAGGAGATGAGGAGTTACCCGGCAAGGGGCTTGATTCAGAACTCCAACAAGGGCCAGGTGAATTGGCTGGTCACTACTCAGATGAGGGTTGTGGGACAGGCCCAAAAGGCTGCACCAGGGCCAGTCAAGCAGTGTGAGCAGGCAAGCCTGATGGCCTACAGGAGCCACTCAAGGGAACAGGGAAGGTTGAATGTGGTTCTGTGTGGGGCAGCGAGTAAGAGGCCCAGTGAGAATGGGTGGAGTGCTAGAGGTCTGATGAGAGTGGATTGTGTGAATGAGGCCCGTTGGAGTGGAATGATAGGATAAATGTTTGAGGCCTTGCAAAGAACTGAATTTGCCCGGCCTCAACCCAGAGCAAATAGCAACTCAAGGAATGCATCTGCGAGGCATGGGACATGAGAAGGGAAGGCTGGAGTCATGAACAAACCCCTAGGCATTGGGGTCTTATATGGGCAGCCTCCTGCTTATTCTAACACCAGTTTACTTTACATCAAAGGCGTGGCAGGACAAACCAGACAGGCTGCCCTAGACAGGCGGGCAGGCCAGTACTGTGACCAGCCCTGGGAGATTGCCCCTTGTCACAGTGTCACTTAACTCTAATGTGGTTTATCTATTTCTCCAAAGGGGAAGTTCAAGCCTTGTTTGGATTTATGCTGGACTTCTCTCCCCCTGTCTCCCTACACTGATCCAGTTGTACATGGGTACTTAGTCATTTGAACTAGGGAAAAAAGTATTTGCAATGTGGTTGCAATGCTAGCCACATACTGATTCTCACATGACTGGTCACAGAAGCTAATGTACCAAATGAAGGCAACAGGCCACTAGGATGGCATAGATGTTTAGCTGGCAGAGTGTTTTAAAAGAAGTATTTAAGAAACGTTTTATGGAAATGGGGATGATCTATAATAATATATTAACACTGTATGTAACTTGGTTATTGAGAGAATTATTGTATGGCTACCTTGAGTTATTGGAAGGTTTACTCTATATTGCATATGCTGATTTAGTTCAATAGCAGAGAGAGTAGAAAACAAGCAGTAATGTGATACAATGGCTTCCGACAAGCAACTGCCTGCTAAACCCATAAGACATAGTTATCATACTTATTTTGTGTCTCCAGCCAGATACAGACCATGAGGCTCCTTGCATGAAATCCAACCCAGGGCATGGACTGGTTCCAGCATAGGGCATGAAGCAGCAACAGTGGCTTAAGCGTGGGCGGGGGGGAGCAGAGCTGGTGGCTGAAGAGGTAAAGCCACAGTGGTGGCAATATGCAAAAGAGCCAGAGGGTGACTGGGGTTGTATCAGCCCTTATTGGCCCATCTTCTGCCACTTGCCATGTCCATTGGGGCCCAAGAGCCCCAGATTAAATGATAGGCCACACACTTCTTGCCATGCCTTCCCCACTTTCAGTTGCCCACCGGTAGCCTGACAGGCTGGGTACAATGGATCTGCGGGCAGGATCTGAACCATATGTTTGACACCCATCCCATAAGAGATCATTAAGAAGTTGTGCTTAAGCCTGAAGATCTTACTTCAAGGACTTGTTTTGCTACTGCTTGAAATGAATAGACCATAAACAGTTAAACACCTTCCAACTACAGATGAGATGGTTGTCAGGGCACTGGTCACAAAATCACCTATTTTGTATTCTGCAGCAAATGGGCCTCCTTAAGCTTCCAGAGGCATAGAATCATAGAAATATAGACCCAGAGGGGACCTGTAAGATCATCAAGTCCAGCCCCCTACTGTGGTCATGAAGTTATTGGGCTCAGATGAGCTCAAGGAGGTGCCTGTCTAGCCTCATCTTGAACACTTCCAAGGAGGGTGACTGCTGCACTTCTGCTGGGAGTGTGTTCAAGATTCTGGAGACCCTTACAGAGAAAATTTTTTTCCTTATGTCCAAACTGAATTTACCCTCTATTAGTTTATGCCAATTGGTCCTCGTCTTCCCTTGAGGTGCACTCCTGATTAGTTGCTGTCTTAGTTCTTGATGCTCTACCTTGACATACTTGTAAGCAGCTATCAAGTCATCTCTCAGCCTTCTCTTCCTCAGGCTGAACAGTTCCAGTTCTTGGAGTCTCTCCTCATAGTTCCTACCTCCCATGCCCTTAACCAAACGGGTGGCCTTTCTTTGTACCCTCTCAAGCTTATCCACATCTTTCTTGAAGTGTGGTGCCCAGAACTGGAAACAGTACTCCAGCTGAGGCCTAATCAATGCCAAATAGAGAGGGAGGAGTACCTCCCTGGATCTACTGGCCACACATTGGTGGATGGACACCAGAGTTTTATTTGCCCTTCTGGCAGCCTAGTCACACTATTGGCTCATATTAATCATCCAGTCAATCTTGACCCCCAGGTCTCGTTCAGATACTGTGCCAGCCAGTGGACTACCATGCATTGTGTAGTAGAGGTGAGGGTTCTTTCTACCCAGGTGAAGGACCTTGCACTTCTCCCTGTTAAACCTCATAGGGTTTTGTTCCACTGATAGATCCAGTCTGACAACGTCATCCTGGGTCTTTCCTCAATCTTCTGGTGTTCCTGCATTTCCCCACAACCTGGTATCATCCACAAATGTAATCACTGAGCTTTGCACCCCCTCATCTAAGTCGGTAATGAATATATTGCATAGCACAGGTCCAAGCACCTATTCCTGGGGGATACCACTGGAGATGGCCCTCCAGGATAAGGCCATCTCATCAACTACCACTCTCTGGTAGCAGCCTCTAAACCAGTTGTCCACCCACCTCACTGTAGACTGGTCCAGCCCAGTACTCTTTAGCTTGTTAGAGAGAATCCTGTGGGAGACAGTCAAAGGCTTTACTGAAATCTAAGTAGGTGACATCAACCTTGTGTTCCTGGTCCAGATGATTATTTACCTGGTTGTAGAAGGACACAAGGTTTGTTAGGTATGATCTACCCTTGACAAAGTCATGCTGGTTGCTTTTTAGCACCCCATCCATTACCAGCTTCTAGTTGATAGCCTCCTTAACCAACTTTTCAAAGATTTTACCCAGGACCAATGTCAGACTGACCGGTCTGTAGTTTGTAGGATCATCCCTCTTCCCTTTCTTAAAGATGGGCAACACATTGGTCCTCTTCCAGTCATGTGGGACCACTCCTGAGTTCCACGACTCTTCAAACAGCTAGGCCAGTGGTGCTGTTATAGGTTTAGCCAGTTCTTTCAGGACTCTCAGGTGCAGGTCATCTGGCCCAGCAGATTTAAAAATGTCCAAGCATTGTAAGAAGATCCCTCACCTGTTCTGGGATGATTTCATGTAGGCTGTTACCTTCCCCCTGTTCCTTGGGCCTTTGGTCAGATGAACAGCCCCCACTGGATTTCAGGAATACTGAAGCAAAGTATGTATTTCGGAGTTTTGCCTTCTCATGGGCATCAACTGTGGATTGCCCTTGGGTATTCAGCAGGGGTCCCACAATGAAGCCCAATATTTTTTTGCTCCATATATATCTGCAGAAGGACTTTTTTTTGTCTTTTATACTGCTTGCCAGTTTGATCTCCATGCCTGCCTTAGATTTCTGTATTCGTATCTGCAGGCGATATAGGTGTATTTCTCCCTGGTTGCTGAGCCATTCCTCCACTGCACATATGCTTCTTTTTTTCTTTTTCAATGGATCCCTAATATCCCTGGTGAGCCAAGCAGGTCTCCTGACTCTTTTCCCACTTTTTGCCTGTGTGGGGATGGCCTGGTTTTGAGCCATGAGAATTACCTCCTTAAGGAAGCACCATCATTCCTGCACTCCCAAATCATCCAACTGCTGGTTACAGAGGACCTCTCCAATGAGCCTCTTGAGTTTGCCAAAATCTGCCTTCTTCAAATTTAGGACTTCTGTTCTGGTCACTAACTTTCCAGTCTTACGGTGGATGGTGAACCTTATCAAGTCGTAGTCACTGTTGCCCAGAGTACCACCAATCCTCATCAGGTCCCCCTCTACTGGTCTCCCTTGTAGCCTGACCCAGAGGGTCTCAAGGGACTCTTTCCTGCTGTCAAAAGTGACCTGCAGAGAGGGGTACCGCCCTTTCACGTAGAGCCACACTCCTCCCTTCTTCCAAACCTGATCCTTCCTATAAAGCCTGTAACCCTCAATATGCACTGTCCAGTCATAAGTATCATACCACCAGGTCTCTGTCAGCCCAATCAAGTTGAATCCCTCATAAGCCAGAAGGAGTGCCAGTTTCTCCTGGTTATTTCTGGTGTTCCCATAAAGGCATCTGAGCCCTCCCCTAGTCACCTCAGATTTTCTGTCATGTTGTCTCTGCCTCAAGATGTCAGTACCCATCTGGACATCCACTGTTTGAATGCCCTCCTGTGTGTCATTGTGGTTAGTGGATTCTGCTTCAGCAGAAGAACCTTCTCCCCAGCCCCCGTACATACCTAATTTAAAGCCCTTCTCAACAAGTCAACAACAAGCATGACAAAGCTAAGGTAAGATACATAAACGTATGGACCTTTTATTATTTAAAAATTATTTCTCTCTTATGGTCTTACTGTTGAGATTAAGCAGTACTGTTATTTAATAAGGTTGCTTCTGTTATTTTACTAGACAAGTAGTCACAGCTCCCAAAGGAAAATTTCATGGATTTCATAGACATTAGGGCTGGAAGGGACCTCAGAAGGTCATTGAGTCCAGACCCCCACCCAAAGGGCAGGAAGTCAGCTGGGATCATAGGATCCCAGCAAGATAAGTATCCAATTTGCTCTTGAAGGTGTTCAATGTAGTTGCGTGAACCACCTCTGATGGCAGGCTATTCCAGACCTTGGGGGCTCAGACAGTAAAGAAATTCTTCCTCATGTCCAGCCTGAAACGGTCTTGCAGCAGTTTATAACCGTTCAACCTTGTCATCCCCTGGGGCACTCTGGTGCATCCCCTGGGGCACTCTGGGCATTTCCCCAGTTACCAGTGGTCACCACTGATAAACTTATAGATGGCCATCAGATCGCCACTGATCCTGCACTTTTCCAGGCTAAAGAGCCCCATGGCTCTC